AGGATCAGATGCGTGCTCAATATCCTTATCTATTAAGTGTCTAGTCAGTTGTTAGTTGAATTTCTAGGTCGAGATTTTTTTAAGGAGGTAAGATTATTACACCCATTTCCTAATAGTGAAAAGTCTATATTATTTATTCAAAATCAAGGGTTTGACTAGTCAAAGTAATAGTAAGATAAGGACTTAAACTAAATAAATGATTTTATTGGGGTTTATTGTATAATATAAGATACTTAATGATTTAAAATGGATAAAATTTAAAGTTAGTGATTTATTTTTCTATTTTTGGGAAGTAAAAGATTAAATACTAAGATATATTAATGTTGAAGGACTTAAATTGCTAAAGGGCAAACGGCAATTATACAACAATTAGCCCATTTTTTTAATATATCAATCCACCAAAGAAATAGGAAAAATCTAGAAACTGGCAGAGAAGAAGAAGAAATCGGCAGAAAGAAAAAGGGAGAGAAAAGATGGAAGAAAAGGGAAAAAAGAAGAAGAAAGGGAAGAAAGGAGAAGAAGAAGAAGAATAAAGTAGTTAGATTTTCATTTTCATTTTCTCTTCCCTTTATTCTCTTCAAGAGGTGGAGAAATTTTATATTAAATTGCTAGGGTTTAATTTGTAGTTAAATTTTCAGATTTTGAGATGAGTAGTACTTGGAGCTTAAGTTATCGATTCTTTAATTTCCATCTACACTAAGGTAAGGAGATATCATTTTTTTGGAGCAAATCCTAGTTTTTAAATTTGATGATTGAGTATGGATTATTTGTGGAAAGGATTACATTAATGGAATCATTCACTTAGAAGAATGATTTTGGGGAACAATAAATATATTAATTTGGTTGTAGTATTATTACTAGTTTTTTACTAGAATGAAAGGGATACATATTGTTATGATTGGAATGACGTTAAATTTGGATAAAGTATTCACATGTTAAGGTTTTAGAAATTAAAATTAACTCCAATTGATTAAAGGAAATTTAGAAAAATTTCGGGAAATTTAGTTTAATTATTATCGTTGACCCCAAAAGATATTGCCAACAGATGCCGGACCCACCTGCGCACACGTGAGCGAAAGTCCAACACGCTAAGACACGTGGACGGTCTAAAACGGATAGATCAAGGGCGTGAGAGTAGCTCAACGGTGCGGGACGAGAACGTTCGGAATCCGACAGAATGTTCGTAGACCGATTGTACAATAATTACCAATTGATGTTTGTAAATGTATATCTAAATATTTATGAACTAGTTTATGTTGCAAGATAATAAGAAAGAGAGAGTTGAATAACGTATGATTTCTTGTATTGATTCTTGCATTAGCCTTTGTATGAGGTACATGGGGGAGTATTTATAATGTCACAAGTTAAATCAAGACCTTTGGTTCGAGGTACACGTGGTCTCATCCAGTTAATTTACATTTCAAATTGTAGGCATCAACTGCACCTAGCCTGTTATACATTTATTGATTGCCGCCTCTATTAGTGACAATACTTAACATTTACACTCATGACAAACGTCCTATCAATCATTCAAATAAGATCTTTGTACAGAGGATCTCTTGAGAGAAGTGTCTATGGAAGATGCTGCTTTGTAATTCAGAGGCTACTACCTCGGCTATAAAGTTTCGCCAACAGGGCTTGTCCACCTTGAAAGGGCCTCGGCATATGGGCTTAGGAAGCTCCTCAAGAGGCAATGATAGATGGGCATCGGTATATTGGGCCTAGGCTTCTGTGGACCTCGGTTTGTAGGCCTCGGCTATGCAAATATCCTCGACTTGAGTGCCACGTCGTTCGGCATGAGTTGGCTGTGGGCCCCGAGGGTTGCCCAAGTGTGCAAACACGTAACAATTATATTATTAGAGATAAAGTTTTCTTGATTTTAATAGTGGTTAAATTAGTTATTTTATAACGTATTTCAAGTGGTGAAGAAGAAATTGGAAAAGCTTACCAACCGGTCTAGTCTGTAGCTCGTATTGAGTGAGTGGATATAAACTTATTTTCAGAAATTAGTATTTAATAAATTTATATTAAATTAGAAAATTTATTATTT